GCCAGGACACTCCTGGTCCCAGCTGGTTGGTCAAAAGTCCCAGGCTGGAGTCTGGTGGGGAGGCAGAGCAGCATGGTGCACCAGGTAGGCACTGCTGCCTCTGTGCAGGAACAAGGCAAGCAGAATGGATCAGGTGCCACCCTGCTTGCACATGGCATGTCTTTGCTCCTGCACAGCAGCAGCAGTGTCTGCCTGGCCCTGAGCCTGGTGCACCATGCCACTACACCTCCTTGCTGAGCGCTGGCCTGTGACTTTTGATCAACCGGCCAGGACAGAACTACAGAATCCTGCAGTGTCCCAGCCAAAATGGGACATATGGTCACTCAACTTACAGGGACCTGCATTTACAAAATTACTGAAAGGATAGAACAGGCCCTACTAATAGATGCAAACAGCAAAGCCCAGGTAGGGAGGATGGAATGGTAGGACTGATTCCCATAAAATAAGCAAGGTGAAATGTCTTATTAGTTAAGTAAAATAATTCTGCTTTAGTCCCAGGAGGACTCAAAGTTATTACATACTTCTCTAAAGAAAGTCGATGTAGCATAGCCTTAGACTCACTGTGGGAACAAGTGTGGTAGAGAATTCAAAACTTTACACAAACAGGCGGAAAGAGTAATTTTACCAAAGACCCTGACTAAAAACGCAGCCAAAAGGACTGCAGGCACTATCACAATTTGTACCTGCAGCTTTCTGCTTAGGACAGAAGGGGTTAACTCCAGACCATCCTCCCCTGTAATGGAGCAATATTGTTGGTGAGATGGAGGATATGGGGTTATTTTTTTTCAATTATTATTTAATAGTCAAATAGACTGAAAGAAATTAATTGTTTAAGGCTAAGAAATCTTATGAGCCAGGCTTTGCACAACTTACAACCACAAAAGATAATTTTTAAGGAAAGAGCCAAAGATTTTTTTGAGGTTGAATTACCCTCTCTCTTTTACAGAATGGGGACTGTGTGTCTCTCTGATTATGTACAGTGGCTTAGTATAGTGGAAGCCTGATTTTGACTAGAGTCCTTTGAGCTCTGTTCTCTTATTCATAACAACTCTAAAGGCGATGAATGAGATGCTGTGAAGAGAAGACGCTCATGCTACTGCTACCTCTTGCTGTTCTGTTCTGTAGATCAGGGATGCTCAACCCCTGCCACATGGGCCATATGGAGCCATGTCACCTGGCCCATTGAACTCCCCATGAGTCCATAAATTTGGCAGTGGGAAAGCAATGGCAGTGTTAATTGTTACTTCCCTGCTGCCAAATTTCTATACCTGTGGAGACTGTAAACTAGATTGGGCGCATGGGGTGGAGTGAGGTGGGAACCGGCAGTATGAGGTAGATCCAAGTGTCAAGGCCAGATCCAGGAAATGTGAAGCTGGATCTGGGTGGCACAGGAGCTGGCATGGTGGCATGAGACCAGATCCAGGATGCAGGGCCCAATCAAGGCAGTGATTCCACAGATCCAGCCCCATGAATCTAGCCCCACAGTTGAGCACCACTGCTGTTGATCATTGGAGATTTCTTTTCCAGAAGTATTAATTTTGCCCCTTCCATAGAATGTACATTTCCTTTAAATATGTAAAAACAAGCCTGCTAAAACAGTGGTTCTCAACCTTTTTTGTACCAGGACCCCTTTGTAAACATCGATTAGGGTTACCATGCATCTGGGTTTTCCTGGACATGTCCCCTTTTTTGGCCCCCCATTCTCATGTCTGGGCAGGTTTTTAAAATGCGAGCAAATATCTGGGTTTTTGCTCTGCCTCTGATTTTCCAGGGCCTAGCAGCTTGGATACTTGGGGCTGGAAACAGCAGGTAATGTGATGTCTGTCAGGAATCATGTGCACTGCGCGCGGGCCCTATCAAGCTGCTCCCAGGTAAGAGACAGTGTGTGTGTACACGTGTGCATGCATGGACAATAGGGATGGAGGGGCAGGGTGCTGTGGGTCAGGAGTGAGGGGCACCACCAAGACGGGGGGCGGGGCTGTGGGCTGTGGGTCAGGAGTGAGAGGCAATGCCAGGACTGGGGGGGCAGGGGGCTCTGTGTCAGGAGTGAGGGGCACCATCAGGGCTGGGGGCTTAGGAGTGAGGGGCTTAGGAGAGGCAGGGCATGGGAATATCACTCCATATCACTCCCTCACCATAATTATATACCCCGTCCCCCTCACCTCCCCCCTTCTTCCCCTCCTGCCTTCCCCCCACAGGTGTCCTCATTTTTTACACTGGAAAGACTGTAACTCTAACATTAGTGGCCAGTCCCAACCCAATGCCCCTGACTCCAGCCTGTTGCCCTCCACCCCCAGGCCTCAGCCCCTCAGTGTGTGGGACAGGGTGGGGTGAGTGTTGGGCATGGGGGGCCCCAAGCAGCCCCTTACAGGCTGAAGCTCTGCCAGCCTGCAAGAGAAAACCACAGTTTCCCACATTTTTCTCCTTTAAAGGAGAATCCATTTTTGAAGTTTGTTCATGGCCCTTTCGTATATTCTTATGACCCACTTTTGGGTCACAGCTCATGGGTTGAGAAACGCTGTGCTAGAATATTAAAGGATTTTATTAATAGGATGCATCGTACACACTTTAAAGCAAGCTAAGCTTTCTTAACATGAATATCTCAAGTCCACTGGTCCAGACAAGGGTCCTAAAAGAACTAGCTGAACTCACAGCAGAGCCTTTGGCAAAAATATATGAAAAGTCGTGGAACTTAGGAGTGGTCCCGGATGACTGGAAGAAGGCCAACGGAGTACCCATCTTTAAGAAAGGGAGGAGTGATGACCCTGCAAACTAGACTGACTTCGGTCCTAGGAAAAACTTTTGAAAAAATTGTTAAGGAGGCCATCAGTCACAAACTTGTAACTAACAGAAAATTAAGGAACAACTAGCATGGCTTTGTGGAGCGTAGATCATGCCTGACAAACCTGGTGTCCTTTTATGACCAGGTAACTAACCAGCTAGACAAGGGGCATGAGGTAGAAATCATTCATTTAGACTTCAGTAAGGCTTTTGACTCTGTCTCCCATGAAATTAAACTGGAGGGTACTGGCCTGGACCAGCCTGTGGTGAGGTGGGTGGATAACTGACTTAGAGGCCAGTCCCAGAGAGTTGTAGTCAATGGGACGGCCTCATTCTGGAGGGCTGTCTCCAGTGATATCCCACAGGGCTTAGTGCTTGGACCCGTGCTTTTTAACAGATAAATGACTTGGATGAAGGGGTGAAATGCTCTATGATTAAGTTTGCCTTTGATACCAAGCTGTGGGGAAATGTGGGCACACCAGAGGATAGGGTAAAGATCCAGGATAACCTAGACAGACTGGTTCTATGGGCTGATCTGAATCAAATGAGGTTCAACAGGGAAAAGTGCCAGGTCCTTCATCTGGGTAGGAAGAACCTTCACCATAACTATAGGATAGGCGGCAGTGCACTGGCTGACACAGCATCTGAATGGGACATGGGGTCACAATCAACCAGAAGATGAATATGAGCCAACAGTGCAATATCAGCCGATGCGTTGCCAGCAGATCCAGAGAGGTGCTTCTTCCTCTCTACTCAGCATTGGTGAGGCCACAGCTGAAGTACTCTGCCAAGTTTGGGGCACCAGACTTAAAGAAAGATGCGGATAATCTCAAGAGGGTGCAAAGAAGGGCCACCCGCATGATCAGGGGCCTGAAGGATAGGCCCTATGAGGAGAGACTCTGGCAACTAGGCTTGTTCAGTCTGAGTAAAAGGAGGCTGAGAGGTGACTTGATAGCTGCCTGCAAGAATGTCGGGGGAGCACTGAGATCCGGGGGACCAACGGACACAAACTAACAGGGGGAAGATTTAGACTGGACATAAGGAAGAACTTCTTCTCCATAAGGGTAACTGGAACCTGGAACACACTCCCAGCAGAGGTGGTGTGGTTGCCATCCTTGGAAGTGTTCAAGAGGAGGCTGGACAAGCACCTCGTTGAGCTAGTTTGAGCACATTAACCTCCTGCCTATGGCAGGGGACTGGACTCGATGATCTTCCAGGTCCCTTCCGGTCCATTGATTCTATGAGTCTACCTCTATTTGCATGTGAGCAAAAATACAATGATGGAAATGGCTGAACATTTGTTGTTGTTTAACTGATCTTACACCAATAATCTCCTGTTGTTGTAGGCTTTCTTGCCCACAGAAATTAACTTTGACATCCGTTATCTGCCCTTATTTTCTTCTTGCACTGCAAAACTCCCAGTTTGATCAATTATCTGGTCACAGAGGCTGCAACAACAGGGAGCAGGGCTTGAAAACAGCCCGCTGTTTTATGACACAGGCTTTTGGCGTGGAAAAAATAAGGTGCAATATAATGAATGTTCTGAAACAGTGATGTAACAGGAGTTAATGTCTCTGTGAACCAGTGTCCCAGTACACAGCAGCCCCCATAACGGAGAGCTCTAATTTGGTGGTAGAACAGGTGGTTGCCCAGAGCAGCAGAAACACAGCTAGTGTCTCTGGGACGGCAGTGGTAGAAAATTGCCAGTATTCAGCACAGCCAATCCTAGCTATGAGAAAAAGGCATATTTACCGAGCTGAATCCCATCACTCTGGTTTTATGCTGATATCATGCCTCTGACCTGAGCAAAGTAACACCTGATTTACACCAGCTTGAGGAGAGACTAGAACTCAAATTTCCATCAGAGACTCTCTTTCACTATGATATTATTCAGATATATTTAAGAACACACACAGAGATCCAACACAGGGACACACACAGACACACAGCTCTTTCCCTGTTTGGTCTGGATATTTTAAATCTTTCTGATACGTCTGACTGTAAAATAATTCCAAGTTAGATCCAGAGCTGATAAAATATCATCATGCTTTCTTTTTAAGGGGTACAGGCTGCCTAAAATCACTGCTGCATTCTTCCCATAGTAGTCCTTTAAAATTAATAGCACATGCAGAGGAAAAACTAAACCCTTTGACGTCACTCTTGAAATGAGGAAACATAAACAGAAAAGGCTCCACTCCAGTGAGCTGACAGTGCCGAAGCCGATTGGTCTGCTTTTCCTTGCCTGTGGCAGTTGACAGCACCTCCCAGCCGTGCACGGCCTTCTGCTTGCTAACACAGTCAGTCAGACTGCAGCAAGCTCAGCTGTATCCCAGCCCTTCACTGGCAGAAAAGTGTACTCTCTTCAAAAGAGTCTCTGATCATTTTTGCTTCTTGGGTTGTTTTTTTTTTATTTTTTTTCGGTCGGTGATTTTTTTTTCTCCAGTTGCTGTTACTTAATTATATTCCTAATCCTGGATGCAGTTACTGGATTCTGCAGTACAAGTCTTCATGAACAAGCTGCACCGCTTAGAGATTTCACGGCATTCAAAGGTCACAGAACTGCCACTATGGTTAAATGTCTTGTTTAATGGTTGAGGTATGTACAGCAACTCTAAAAGAGGCCGTGTGATTATTTTTAAGGGGGAACTAAAATTGCAAAAAGGGGAAGAAGGGAGGTGTTACTTTAGAGAATTTAGAGAAAACATTTTTTATTGTTACTTGTTACTACAGCAACAAGCTTCTTATCTCCTCCCTTTTTTTTCTTTTTATTGAAACTAGCGGAACATTTTAACTGGTGTCAATGTAATCAGTTGCAGGCAAAAGAAAATTGAGGGTTCTGTTTTTGTATCACTGTATGATCCTACTGAGGAAA